CTTAAAGAATTTTGACATCTTGTCAAGCCTCTTTGATCCTCTGCAAGGGAGGAAAAAGAACTGAGGAGTCTCCCCATTTCCCAAAGGCAGAAACTGAGGTTTCCTGAAGCTGGAAGACCTCTGCAGAGTCCCACAGAAGAAAGACTGAAACCGAGCCCTTCTTTCCCTAGGTTTTCGTCTTTCCCATTTGAGAATCTTAAACCCACACGCTAGCCAAAATGCGCGTAATATTCACACCCAGATTGTGTCTCCTCTCTGTCTCTGGCACGTGTGGAACATGGGTCTAGGCCCTAAGGACAAAATACACATGTGTACACACACACAACATGTGCATGCATAAAGACACACACACAAATACACAGGAAAAGACTCTTCACAACTCTGGTTAGTGCACACTTAGTGCTGCCAAGCATGGCCGTGAGCACTGGAGGATCTTTCAGAAGAAGAAAGCTCAGTGGGATCAGGCTAGTGAAGGTGGAGCTGAAGGATTCTGCCGCGTGGAAGGGGAGGGGCTTGGTGCGGTCACTGCAGGTCATTGCAGCAAAGCTACAAGCGGAGGCAAGGAGTTAGAAGAGAATAGGGCATCTTCTGACAACAGGTGACAGCCCTCCTGTTTCGGCCGTAGACCCTATGTAGAGAATCTATGGGAGGGAAGGCTGCAAAGGCATTTGAGAGCATGAATGCCAAGCTCGGATAGCTGGGTTCCGTTCTGAAGGCCCTAGGAAGCCATTGAAGTTTCGTGCCAGCTGGCATTTGGTGATGAAATTGGTGCATTAAGGTGAGCCTGTGGTCTGGAGAAATCTAAAATGACTTAAAGAATGCATTCTGTTTTCTGGAGGCCTGGGGTTGGAGGGGACAATCCACATAAGAGTTAGCTTGGCTGTCCTTAGAATGGCAATGGCGGGAACAACCCGCTACAGCTGAACCTCCACATGGCCTCAAGCTCAGCTGGGCAGGAAGGACGGGGGACCAGGGGTAGGGTCAATGTGAAGAGCTCAGCATCCCTCACCCCATTTCTGCAGCCCCAGATCTTGGTTGCAGTGGCCCCAGCAGCCTCAACCCCAACTTTCCTGCCAGTGCAGCCTCTACAAGAGCAAGCTCTGGCTCCATGTGACCTCCTGTGTGCAACCCAGCTCCTCCTCCTCCCTTCAGTTTACTCTCAAGCCCTCTGACTTTACATGAAATGAAACAGACGCCCTGGCTGTGGTCATCGTGACAAGAAGCTCCTGTGTCCTGCTCCCCAGCTCATCTGCCTCTAGCTAGGGCCCTGCCTCGTTAGTCCCCTGCAGCCCCACCCACTCGGGGAGGACCCGGTGGGATATCAACTCTTCCTCCACTTGCACCACCTCTGGATGTTCAAGCTCATCTCAGGAGGTCCAGAAAGGAAAACGAAATAGTGGTCATATCAACAGTCAGAGCTGCTCTGATACGGTGGTCGTGGTCTTGTAGTTATATGGTAGTCATCGTGTAAGCAACGGATCGCCAGTTCATAGCCACTGAGTACTCACAATGTGCCGGGCACTGCGACAAGCATTTATCCCATTTTCGTCTCATAACCGGTGGTGGGTATTATTACTTATCATTTCTTCCACTTACAGATATGATAGGGTTTCCTTGGTGGAAATGCATATGGGGTTCTGGGTTCCAACGGCAGAGCTACAAGGCCAGTTTTCCCATGACACCCTGATAAGGGTGTCCTGTAATCCCTCCCCTTCCACGTCCTTAGCCCCAAGCCCCCACCACCACCGCTTCTCAACACACGGTAGAATCTTGCAGCCCGTTTGACCAGGAACGTGTTTGTGCACTTCACTGCAGGTAGCTTTCAGCTTACACACAGATGTTTGTGAGTCTCTTTTTTGGAACCTGAAACAATATCTTCAAAGAAATTCACTTTGTGAATGCTGATTTGTTCCTAGCCTACACTGCAACTGGGTTAAACTCTAAATAGCTCCAACCTCAGTTCAAGTTCTTGGGAGCTGGGGTCTATGAGATTTATAAAGGAGAATTTCTTTCTCCTACTGGACATATGACCAGCTGTAGGCAACATTTGAAATAGACAAAGGTGTCTTGGGTCACCTCCTATTACACTTTGCTCCCTCCCCGCGAGACTCCTCTCTGGGTGGGCCCTGTCCACTTTCCCCCCTGAGAGAACCCTCACTTGCAACCCCTCTATTGAATGCCCACCTTCTGCCCAGTTTGACCAAGAGCTCCCGGATGACTTCCTCTCCTTCCCACCCGTCCCGCTCACGACCAGCCCTCCATAGAACTCAGCCTCGGGGGTCAGCACACCTAAGGGGCTCCTGCTTCTTTTTCATTGCTTCTTCCTCACCTCTGAATCTGACCGTAATGGCTCTCTAGAAGTTACTAGTTACTTCATAAAGGATTTCTCAGAAGCAGAATCCTGAGGTACGGAATTCCTTGCCTCAGAAAGGTAAGAAAGAACTAATAGACGCCATTCAAGTCTGTAGACAACAGGCATTTGTAAATCGGGGGCAGCCTGTCTACATGTTTCTGTTCAGTCGGTCTTCTATCTACTTGCTCTGTGGAGATTCCTTCATCAGGTCCATGAATCTGCTGTTTTGGATGCTGCATAAGGTGAATGTTCACCCACAGTGGTTTTCACCACAAGGGTCAAATACCCTGTTGCCAGCACTGGTCATTCCTCCTTGCCTTCTCTTCCTTTCCCTGTGAGACACAACTGAGGGGTTGAGGGACTTCACTCATTGCTTCAAAGCCTGTAGGCAGCTGGCAAACACCTGGGACTGAAGCAGCACACTAACTGGCCTTGTCCTGCCCTGCCCTGGGAATCCAGCTCCCCATGGTCACCTCCACCAAGAAAATCTATTGTCCTAGACTCATGTCGTGAGCCAACCATGAACACTTCCTTCTTGGCACTGGCCTGCCTCGCAGCAGACATCAAAACGACGCTGACATTTTACCACATGGTCAGGTACTTTTTTGAGAACGTGAAGGCCGTTCTGAAAGAGATATGAAGCGATCTCTAGGGCTTTCCAGTAATATTCTTTCCTCCCAGAGACAGTCAATGTGAGAAATCCACTTCCGGAAGGTGATCACCTCCCTCCCACGCCCCCGCGCCCCCCAGGCCGTGCTCTTGAGGAAAAGGCAGCATCACGTCCTCCCCGCCAAACGGAGGCCCCCCTGATTTCCACTGCTCTCAGCAGGCTTGACTCACAACGAAACTGCAACCTCAAGAACACCCGGGGCCAGGATTGCGAGAAGGAAATACAGGTGAACACACGCAAAAGCTGCCTGAGGAAAAGGTCTTGTTTCTCTTACAGAATGGTCCTTCCAGGGCTGGGCGGAAGCCGTGAACTGGAAGGGCTGAAGGGGCTGGGAGTCATGCTGACTTAGTGGATTCGGCAGGGAGGGAAAGTATGCATCAGAACCACACATGCCAAGCAACTCCTGCCTAGGAGGGTAGACGGGGCAGGGTGAGGAGGGGAGAGAGGGGAATCACAAAACCCTAGGATATCAGATTTGGAAAGTACCTTAGAAAAACAGCCCTGTCGAGCCTGCCTCTTACAGTTGCAGAAGGGAAGGCCAAGGGTTGGAAAGCAATGTGCCAGGGGTCTCACAGTGGAAGGTCCAGGCTGGCAGCTGTTCTCCTAGATGCCTGAGCCAGAGTTTTCTCAACCATGGGATTGACTTCTTGGAACCCCTGTAACATCCTCAGGATATTGGGGTTGAAAACCTGTCCTGCTCCGAGTCTTCAGGCCTATAAAGAAACACAGCCGGCTCTGGCAGCTGAGCATTCCCACAGCAAAGCACCGACGCCACAACTCAGATGCCCGACTGCTGGTTATGGGCTAGGCACTCATCTAAGCACTTGTGTATGAACATTATTTCATCCCATCCTTACAGCCACCCCACAGTGCCACTCATCATCTCCGGGTGTGGATACTGCAGCACAAGAAAACTCAGTAGCTGGCCTAAGGTCACACGGATGGTAAGGAGGGCAGCTCGGCTTGGAGCTTTAACTTGAACACACAATGCCTGACCCAGTTCCTAAAGGGTGCCCGCCTCATCATCATGATTCCTCCATCAACAGGATGGGTGAGAGCCCAGTGACTGCGCATGCCGCTCGGTTTTGCACGGGGCGAGAAGAGAAGGAGAAGCAAATTGTGGGGATTTGATTGGTAACTTCTGGCCAGGTGGACTGGGAAATGTCTGATTTTATTTTCAAGACTGTTCTGAAAACTGAGAAAGCACAAGACTAACCGAAAAGAAGGCAGAGTTTTTTAACTGCCCCTCAGAATTGAAGGAGAGCGAGCGAGAGCCAGAGTGGGAGAGTGAGAAGGAGAGAGAAGATTAACAGTGGAAGTGGGGAGTGGAACCCAGATAAGCCTGCAGAAGAGTCCTCCCAATAGCCCTGTGCCCCTGGCCACAGCCAGCCCCTGCAGCCAGGTCCGTTGGAGAAGGGGAGTTACAGTAATAGGCAGGGCGCTGCAGATCAGCACCAAAACTCCCGGGGGTTCTGACATGAAACCACAAACACTGCCTGTGAGGCCCTTCAGCCTCCATGACATACGTGATGCTCACAGGACTGCACTAAGGGACCAAACTGGCTATTTGGAAACTCTGAATAAAGAAGACACCAGTGGAGTGGTGGGCTTCCCCCTTCTCCCTCCAGGCCAGGTGCCCTGTGGGTGTGTACCCCTCCCTTCCTCTGAGGCCAGGTTTTTGTTAAACCTTTAAGCCAGGGATTCTCACAGGGTGGTCCAAGGACCCCCGGGAGGTCCTCCCTTTTACAACTCTATATCTACGTGAGGCTGGATTTTCTTCATATGCTTCAACTCAGACAACATATCACAACAGACTGAAGGTGGGAACAAATGTAGGAATCCAGGTTCTTCTACTAAACCAGATATTTAAAGAGATTTGGGACAAATGTCAAACAGCACCGCTCTTCTCACTAAATGTGCTCTGACTGGGAAAATATAGTTATTTCTCATTAAAAAAATGTGTTTTGTTTATGTTAACATGTAATGGGGTTTTTTATCATCACTTTAAAACGTCATAAATAGATTTTTTCTAATTTCCCAGTTTTACCTTGTAATATGATTAATATTGGTAGATATAACTCACGTAAGTAGAAGCTCTTTGGAGTCGTCAACAATTTTAAGAATGTGAAGGGGTTCTGAATCCAAACAGTTTGAGAGCAGCTGACTTAGGGGGTCTCAGACCACCCTGGACGCAGGCGCACAACCACACTCCCTCCCTGGAAAGCCATGACCTCAGGCTGGCACGTAAAGGACACAGTCCCAGCAGAAGTGGCATGGATCTGGATGGAGGCAGCCCCTGGCTCGCGCCTGGAGTGAGGACGTGCATCTGCAGTGCGCACAGCGCCGCATGGAGAGCGGCTGAGGACTTGGAGTCAGGGATGCATCTTAGAGACGAGAATCAGAAAGGCAGGATGAAGCTCTCAACTCTCACTCTCTCTCGAATAAGGTTCCTGGAAGGAGATGGTGCCCCAGGGTTCCTGTGGTGAGAGGGCACACCAATTGATACTTTTCAACACCCCAGCCATCGTGTGCCAGTGACACACTGCAGTAGAAACACTCTTCTGTCTGCAAATACTCTCAATACTCTTGAAATATTTCCCTAAGACACAAGTATCTAAGCGCCCCTCACCCCCGCCACAGCTCCCAATTGCAGGGTGCACACCCGGAAAGGGCACAGTAGATGCCGACGGTCTGCTGGATGGAAACTGTGTTTGTAAGACTTTCAGCTTCTCCTCGTCACTGCAACCCCGGACCCCAGCTGTTGGTGCTGGCCAGGAGAAGTCAGAGCAATTTAATCCTCACCTGAGGCAAGGAATTAGGTGATGATCTGAGAATAACGCAAAGAGAATCGGGTTCAGATTCCATCTTTGCCATTAACTATCTACAGTCCCCAGAAAGGCACTTTCCTCTCTGGGCCTCAGTTTGCCCACCTGTGAAATCAGAGGTACAGGTTAGACAACGTGGAAGGGCCTTCCTCTTCTGACATCCTACAACACAGGACATTTCTAATGCTCCAAAGACCCTGGGGGATTTAGTTAACATCTGTCTGGAAGGCTGGTGATTAGTAATGAGACTGATTCAAAAAGTGGAAAAGCTTAATGGGAATAGGCATATAGTTTGTGAGGATTCATCCCCTCAAGCAAATTCATCCGCTACTTTATATGAGATGGAAAACAAACGTATACCCAGTTACAGCTACAAAAAGATTAAGCAGCACAGAGTCAGTCAGTCAGTCAGCCAACAAATATTTAGTAAGAACCTTGGATGTGCCCAGAATTGTGCTAAGTCCTGGGCAAACAGTGATGGTCACAAACAGACATGGGCCCTGCCCTTGTGGAGGTTACAGTCTAACGGGAGAGACGGAGATCAATCAAAGGACTATATAGCCACGTATACAGTTACAAACTGACATAAGTACTAAAGAAAAGAAGCAAGGTATTCTGAGAAGACCTGAGCTAGACTGGGGAACAGCGAAAAACTCATTTGAGGAAGTAACATCTGAGCTGAGAACTGAAGGAGGAACAGAGAGGTAAAGACAATCCAGGAAGGGGGAATGATATGTGCAAAGGCCCTGCGGTAGGAGAGAGAGCATGGATCATTTGGGAAAAAATAAAAAGGAATGCCAATGAGGCTGGAGTGCAGAGGGAAGTGGAGAGCGCTTGAGGCAGAAGAAATAGATGGTGTGAGACGATAAAGGGAGTTGTAGACAGTATGAAGAATATGGGTCCCTATTTTACCCAGAAAGGGAAACTGGCAAGCCATGGAAGGGTTTAAGCAGGGGGAGAGTCATAATGAGGTTGGTGTTTGGAAATAATCACTCTGGCTACAAAGTGGAGAAGAGTTTGGAGAATGGTTTTTAGAATATCAATCAGGCATTTATTTTGGAGCCCAGGAGAGATAAGATGGTAGCTTGAACCAGACAGTTGTTACTGACGATGATGGAAATGGAGAAAAGTAAGTAGATGAGAGAAATCCTTGTGAAGAAAACTCTGAATGACCTGGTAATCGACTGGACATAGGTTGACAAGAGAAGGAGGAACTAACAAGTTACTAGGTTTCTAGCTTGTATGACGGTTTAGACGGTGGCGCCATTTACTGACTTAGGGAGCTCGGGATGAACGTGGGGCCAGGGAAAGAAGATGACGAGTCTAATCTCATATACAGAATTGACTACATAAATTGGGGGTGCAGTGCAAAATGAAAATACGAGTCCCCTTGCTCAACAATTACTAAGAATTTCAAGACAGTGACAGCAGAGCAAGTGCAAGGCCCTTCTGAGCATGGGACCCTGTGCGACTACACAAGTGGCAGGGCCACGAAGCCCGTCCTGCTCATACATGTTGGGTTTGAAGTGTCAGCCACCTAGAGGAAACATGAGTAATCTGAATCCCACTGGAGGAACAGCCCTGGAGCTGAAAGAATCCACTAGTGCCCCAGGCTCGGAACCCACTGGTTACGCTAGGCAGTCATGCAGACACAGCAGAAATAGCTGTGTCCTCTGGGTGGCAAGGGCTCCAACACCTGGCGTCCTAGTCTGTGTAAGACAAACTTCTCATGTGAGAAGTTACAGATCGCGGTGTCCGTCCCCTAAGGAAAATCCAAATTGCTTGACTTGGCGCCCCGGTTGCACAAAGGGGAATTCCACATCGCCTGTCCAGAGACCAGTCCTTCCGCTGTGGTTTGCAGTCTGCTGGCCACTGTCCTCGGAAAGGCACCCAATCCGGTTTGCATAACCCTTGCTTGATTCGCCCTGGGGCCAGCCCCAGCTCAGGCTCCTCCCACACCTCTGACCCATCAGGCCTTTATTCTGGACACCCCTGCCACAAGGCCAAAGTCAGAGGAGGGCAGCGCCACAGACCCCTGGCCCCTGGGGCCCCTACCCAGCCACACTTGTGGGGTGTGGTGCAAGACTCTGTGCTGTTGACCAGGCTTCTTGCAGCACAGCCACCAAAGCAGCCTCTGTCCAGGGAATTGAGGAAGGTTATTGAAGGGAATGCTAGAAATTTCAAGCTGAGGAAATTACTGTGTGCTGCGATGTCCTGAATAAGAAGAAATGAAACTCCCGTTATTAGCCTTAAAGGAATGCCTAGTAATGGGCGAGTAGGGGCCAAGCCCCTAGGGGATTCTTCATCAGGGCCGCTGTCTCCCCTACCCCAGGTGGGCACCATCCCATCTTCTCTGCTTGCATCACTGATCTGCCTGCTCCCTCCCAAGGGGCCCTATTGCCAGGCAAGCCAATTGAACCCTGAGTCCAGCAAGCCCAGATTCCTTAGCCTTCCCTCTGCGGCTCCAGTGCAGCCCCGCAGGGCTGTTTCCCACTCCTGGCTCTGAGTTGCTGAGTAGCTGCAGGCATAGAACAACTGTGCCAGGAAGGCTGCCATTTTGCTGAGCGTGAGGGGAGGTGGAGGTGATTCTTTATAAGATCTTGGGCACTGTAGATAGGACCCTCCAAAGCCATTGACACACACACCAGTGATTCTTGTCTGCCCAGACTTCTCTGCAGCTGAAGTGGTGAAACTCACAGAGTGGAGCTTTCCGGAAAGATCCTTTCTGGAAAAGATCTCCTGGGCTGATGTGACCCTGAATGCTTGGGCTTTACCCACGTCCTTTCTCCCTGACATCTTGCAACAATGGATAGGAGAGCAAGCAGGCAGAAAAGCACTTTCTGGATGATATATGAGTGCCGTAGCTGCCCCGGACTGCCTGCCTCTGAACTTCTTGTTGGGTGAAACCGAAAAATAATATCCCCTTTTTTTTATGCTGTGCTTAGTCGGATTCCCTTTCGTTTGCAGTTAAATACAGAAATCAGGGAGTATTCTGGAGCAGGAGTAGGAGAAGAGAGGTATTTCCGCCCCCGACACCTTCCTTCAATTTCCCAGTGAGTCCACACTGGAAAAATTCATTTGAATTCAATTTAATAAGCATTTATTAGACAGCTGCTATGCATCTGGACTTAGGGAAAATTGGACTCAGGCCCTTTGCCCTCAAAGAACTCACAGTCCTCTTGTATTTGTGTCCTCTTGAAATCCACAGGACCAAACGGTGCCCAGACTGACACTCGACCCACCCGTGGGCACCTGCTTTCCCACTTCCTTCCTCGCGCGGGCTCTGCCCTGGGGTTGAAACGCGAACTCAGATCTCCTAATAGGCAGCTTGTCACCATTTATGTCTCAGATGTGACCTATGAGGTTGGCACTTTTCCCAGTGGATCCTAATGACTTTTCAGGAAAACAGATAACTTCACAGCCTTGAGAAACAGGAGTTAGCTCTGTCATTCCCTTTGTTGGTCAATATAATTGCAAAGGGTCTTAACTTTTCCCAAAACGTTCATACCTACTCTCTTGTTGATTAAGGAATTGCATCATGAAACTTGCCTAATGTTATCTCTGACCCTTTAGATTCTAAAAATTTTGAGGAGAGAAAGGACAATGTCTTCAGATCAATGGAGAAAGGATCAACTACTGTTTTCAACAAATGGCCTGAGATAACTGGCTACACATTCCAGAACAAATAAAGAAGTCAGAGCCTAACCCTAACACTGCATAGTGGATTATGGATTAAAGAAAGTTAGAAATGGCTTTTACGTACCTCCCTTCTCCCTGCCATCTCGTGCGTGTGTGTATGCGTGTATACATATCTATGGCAGAGATGCTGCCCGCCTCCCTGAGTTGCTCTGCCTACCCTCTGAGTGCTCGCTGTGCCCAGACCAGCCTCCATAGCTTTGCTTCTTGTGGCCATGGTCCAGGCTCCCAGGGCACTCTGTTCTGCCCATCCCAACATAGAAAAGAAGCAGCTATGTGCCTGGCACCTTCCGCAGGCCAGACCCTGTGCTGGGCACCAGGTACACAAAGGATAACAAAGAAACATCCTGCTCCAGGGAGCTCACAGCTGACTAGGGGAGGCAAGCTGTGCTCATGGGTGACAGCCACATGGAACTGTAAATCCAGCAGTGGAGGAAAGCAGAGCAGGGTGCAGACAGGGGCAGGAGGGGTCTGTGCTGCCTCGGTCAGGGAGAGGGGCCTCATTGTCTCACCTGGGGTTCGGCCCTGGCCTCATGGGTCTGCTACACTGAGTCTGCAGCAGGAACACGCAGCTCAGAGAGGGGTCAGCCCGCCGAACTAAAGCAGACAGCCCAGAAAACCCAGGGGCCACGAGAAAGGAGAAGGGCAAAAGGGATGCAAAGCCCAGCTTCGGGCCCGTCTTCTCTGCTTCCTGGTGGCAAAACTCAGCGCGCCTCAGCCCAGTGTGAACCTGGCAGGAGCAGCAATGCTGAGTTGGTTCTGCTCCTGTTTCTAAAAGGCTCTTTCTCCCTTCATGATTCTGAGGCTTCCATATCAACAGGCCCCAAAGGGTTGGGAGGAGAGGCCACAGTCCCCTGACCCTGACACGCAAGGTACACCCACAGGATGGGCCTGGACCCTCTCGCTCCTCCCTCCACTCACTCCAGACCAGCCTGGCCTTAGTATGTCACCCCACTTGCTCTGGCATGGTGACCTTCTCCAAGGGGGCAGACTTGGAAACTGGTGCCACCTGAGATGTCCCAGCGCTGATGCAGGAGGGCAAGGAAATAATAGAAACACTGGAGATATCCCACAGCTGGTCCACGCCTTACTGCCCCGAACCCGTCCCCTGCAAAGCCAAGGCCCCTGGCAGGTAGGAGGCAGGTACGATCGCCTCCTTGAGACAGATGGAAACCAGACACAAAGGGCCAAGCGACTTGCCCTAGGTTTAAAGAGTGACAGAGCCAGGGCACAGCCCAGAGCTCCTCCCCACGCAGGTCAGCGCTCTTCCCACTTACTGTCTTCACTGGGCAGTGGGAGAAGCCCCTGTGGAAGGGGAGGTCAAGGCACAACCAAAGGACCCCCAGAGACTTTCCAGATACCTGGAGAAGGGATGCCACGACCCCATCTTTCCTAACTAGAGGTAGAGCGACTTCCCTCACATCTAGCTACTCTGTCCCTGCACATTCACACTCACACACACACCCTCACACTCACACACTCTCACTCACACACATACACACTCTCACACATTCACACACTAACACGCATACACACTCTCTCACACTCACACATTCACACACACTCAAACACACTCATATGTGCAAATCCAAACAAGACGACAAAGGCTTCTTTGGGTGGAGGGAGAAGGGATAAGTAAGAGGAAGGAAGGAGGCTGCTGTGCAGCCCGCACGGAATCCGGACTTATTTTCGTTAGTATTTCTACTGCTTCCTCCCATCTTTCAAGCTTAAGTCTCCAACCATGGCAGCTCGTAACTAAAAGAAGCCTTGAGGACTCCACAATCCAAGCTTCTCATCCCACATCCTGGGGACAGTGCAGAGAAGGGTATGGAGCACGGCGCTGGCACCAGCCAGGGCTGGGTGCGAGTTCCACCCCTCCCGTAGCACCTTACAGGCTACTTAACACCTCGGTGCCTCAGTGTGCTCACTCTAAAGTGGAGACAGTTGGGGTCACAGTGACTAGCAGGTACCAAGTTCTCAGTAAGTGTGGGCCTCTCTGACCAACTTCCCCCAAGTCCTGGGACAGCGAGGAGGTAGAAACACGGACCTGAGAGTCTAAACAAACCCAGGGCTACAGAAGAAGCCTGGAGCACATCCTCTGGCCCTGCCGGTCCTATAGGAACCAGCCTCTTAAATAGGCAGTCTTGGAACATAGAATGAAAGAACCAGAAGACAGCTCTGAGGAGATTGAGCTCATCCCCTTGTTTTCACTTGGGGAAACTGAGGCCCAGAGAGCTGAGGTGACTTCTCAATTCAGCAAGGAGAAGCCTTGGGTGTTCAATTCAGGTTGGGAAGGGGATCCAATTATTTCTCAATACCAGTGTATTCTGGAATGGCCAACTTGTCCACGTCACTGACCTAGCAACACGCAAATGGAACCCACAGCTCTGCGCACAGAACAGCTGTTCACCCCAGGAAACTGACTTTTTTTAATTAAGAGAAGCTGAAAAATTATTTTAAAAGAGAGAGAGAGGTAACACCCTAAAAAGAGCCGTAGTGCAGAAGTTCGTTTCAACTATCTCTTTTGCTTACAATGCAAAAATTGAAAACTTTAAGAGTAAGAAGTTCAACGAATGCAAAGCTGGAGTGGGCTCGGGAAGGGAGGAGCTTTAGAAAAAAAGCTTTGCCAGGAAATCTGTGACTCTGTGGCTTTTTATGAATGGGGAGGCCTCACTGAACCCACAATATATAAAGGGGACACAGGAGGTGAAGGTCGATACATCAGGGCCTTGCTCTTGCAAAACCAAACCACAAGGCCGATTCACAGAAGAAGGCAGAGCTCAGCCATGCCCAGCGCAGCACTGCTATGTTACCTGGTCTTCCTGGCCGGGGTGGGAGCCAGCCGAGACCGGGGCACCCAGTCTGAGAACAGCTGCACCCACTTCCCAACCAGCCTGCCCCACATGCTCCATGAGCTCCGAGCCGCCTTCAGCAGGGTGAAGACTTTCTTTGTGAGTATGATGCCCTCTCGTCTGTCCTTCCTCCCTGAACTAGGCGTGCTGCTAGAGCTATAGGAACCTTCCTTCTTGCTCAACTCCCTCCCAGCTTCCATTCCCCACAAACTTGAATTCTTAAGAGGGTCTCAAGTCCAGCCGTGTGTTCAGGTAGTTAAGCTAGGCTGGGGTGATGCAGCAGACGCGCAGGAAACGCTGCCCTAAAGGTAAACGTACTCTCTCCTATGCTCAGAAACTTTTCGTAAGATTCTTCTGGAGCTCCATACTTCCTTGGCTGGGAGAAATCCAGAAGGGTCTGAGTGGAGGTGAAGGCGTTCCCCGTGCCCTAGGCAGAGAAACATAAATTGCCTCAGCATGGAGGGCTTCCAGAACCTGAAGGACTGATGGTTTGGGGAAGCGCCACACAGGGGTTCACCTGCCTTAGGAGACGCTTCCCACTCCCAGAGACCTTTCAAGGCTGCAGCTGGACGTGGGCAGCAGGGAGAAAGACAAGCACAGAGCCCCGGAGGGTTGACGTAGGCGGCCCCTGCACACCTGACATGGATCTGCAGAAAGATCAGGACCGAGTCTGGCTTCTGCCTTGGCTTCAAAATTGGCCAGATTTTTAAAATCACTTGATCCCGAGAGAAAGGATCTGATTGAACTAAGGGTCCCAGCCACATTGAATGTCCTGTTTGGAGAAGTCTCCATTCCATTTTTGGGCCAGGGCTGCATTGATTAAAAATCAAAAACTCTATGAATAAAAGGACATCGGAAGGACATTCATTTCAGGTGTTTCCCCAAAGCTCAGGTTCATTCTCCTTTTGTTCTTCTTACAGCAAATGAAGGACCAGCTGGACAACATGTTGTTGAACGGGTCCCTGCTGGAGGACTTTAAGGTGAGAGCCGGGCTGGGTGGGTGGGCAGGCTGCAGCGTGACTAAGGGCAGGGAGGCTCTGCTCCAAGCCTGCGTGGCTTTGAAAAGCAGAAGTGGGAAGATCTTAACTCAGCAGATCAGCAGCGGCAGCCGCGGAGGGTTACAGAGGGCTCAGTCCCGGGGGGGAGGCGGCTGGGTAAGACAGGTCCCTGGGGACAAAGCTGTCCTCTCAAGCTAGTGCCGCAGCTCTTCCTCCCACTCACCACCCCCCCCCCACCCTGCTCCCACCCTAGGGTTACCTGGGTTGCCAAGCCTTGTCGGAGATGATCCAGTTTTACCTGGAGGAGGTGATGCCCCAGGCTGAGAACCACGGCCCAGACATCAAGGAGCACGTGAACTCCCTGGGGGAAAAGCTGAAGACCCTCCGAGTGAGGCTGCGGCGCTGTGTGAGTAGCAGACCAGTCCTTTCCCTGGCAGCTTCTCTGTTCTTCCCGACACACCATCTCCTGACAAGGCTCACAGCAGAGACAGAGACACAGGCTGGCAGGGGCACTCTCGGGAAGGCGCTGGAGTTCCATCTCTTGCTCATTTCTCTCTGTGCAGGGGGTGGGTTGGTGGCTAGGCATTTACATGTGAAGATTTGCAAACAGCTTTCCTGTTATTTGTGAGTCATTTGTGGGCTATTAATTATTCCCCTCTCTCTTCCTGAAAGGGGCCCAGAGCTCCAGTCGGCGCTCCCTTGTCCCTTTGGACCTAGGCCCTGGACCCTGCAGGAGGGGAAACCCCACTTACCTCTCATTCTCAAGCTTTTGAAAGCAGAGCTCTATGTGGGGCCCAACTGACTGACAGGCTTTTTAGAAAGGCCAGGGAGCTACTCATCCCCAGGCTAGTATCTATGAATAATTCCCCAGGATAATTCATTTCTCCAACCAAAATGATACCCTCACTACTGGGTTTCTCTGTTCTCTCACGGGTATTGGGACATCAATTGGTCTCTATTTGTGGGACAGGACCATGCAAAGGGTTTGGCCTGCATAGCTGAGACTGTGTCTCTATTCCTCTGGGACTTAGAAATGGCCCTAGTGGCTGGGAGTGAAGGTTAGGGACAGAACAGAGAGGCAGGAAAGGACCGAATGGCTGGCTCAGCACTCTGGTCAGCACTGTGGGGTTCCGGCGCGCGGGGTTGGGGGCTGGGGAGGCCGAGACCTGGGTTTTCACGCAAGCCTTGCAAACATCTCAGAGTGGCTTCTAGAGAAACATGTTTCATCTCCCTGGGCTGTTTCTTCTCTGTCTGAGGGGAAGGAGGACGTAGGGCTCAGAACCCCCAAGGATCTATGAGGCGTAGGTATTCAAGATGAGTCTGGCCCCTTCCTCATGCTACCAGCTTGTCTCCCAAGTGCTATGGACACAGGAACTGCGAGCCACTGTCATTAACACTTTCTCTTTCCTTCCACAGCATCGATTTCTGCCCTGTGAAAATAAGAGCAAGGCAGTGGAGCAGGTGAAGAGTGCCTTCAGTAAGGTGAGTTTGGATGGTGGCAGGGAGGGCCTGGGGACCATGACCTCTGCCCACTCTCCGAGGGGTGGAGGTTGGCAGGTGCTAAGCGGGCCCTGTCCTTCACTCGGAGGCAGTGTGGGAACCCGACAAATGGTGTGACCTCCTCAGCCGGCGAGGAGCTGCTGCCTTGGTTATGTTTGTTTTCTGTGAAGTGTCTTTGGGGGTTTCTAAATGACTGCTCCCCGCCTTTGCAGGCCTGTGGGTTAGGCCAGCCAGTCAGCCTGTGAACGCAGTGAGCCAGGTGCTGGGGAGAGTGACAAAGGAAACAGAAAGTAGCTTGTTGGGAATCTAGACTGAGCCACACGTGCAGGAAGCCAACACGTGAATGTGCACACACAAATACACCCAGGGGTTCAGCCTGCACTCCCCAAAACTCAGACCAGAGCAGGAGGCAGGATTCTCACTTATCTGCAGTTGGTCCAGGCTTACATCCCATCTGCCATTCACACCTCCCAAAGTGCCTGAGAATGTCAACTCTCAAACCAAATGGGGTTTCGAAAATGCTTCCAACTATCCGTGAACTCTTACACCCTGTTTCCCAGAAGCCATGTGGCCTATGGCCTCTGCATGGGTTGGGGACAGACGCTGGGCAGAGTTCCACCATCAAGGAGCATGAATCCCCTGACAGGGGGCCGGAGCAGCAGGGCGGGGCCTGCTCGATCCATTGGTGGGGGAGCACAAACATAGAAAAAGGCTCTCTTCTCTCCTTTTCTCACTGTCTTGCTTGCAAAGTGGTTCCTCTAATGTCTTTTCATCAAATTCTGAATAAGCATCATGTGAGCACATGACCTTTTAAACTGTTGAAAAGGCACCGTTTTGAAAACTGCTTTGCAAAGTGAATGCCTGTCTTGCTGCCCACTAGCCATGCTTCAGGTCAGTGCACAGCCTTCCCCAAGGTGGCTGGCCATGTCCTCAGGTTCCCAGGGTCCCTTCGTCACCTCCCAACATGAGGGAGCAAGCGCAGCTTCTGGGGCCCAGGGTCACGCCTCTCCAGGTGGGGAACCCACTTACTCGCTCAGATGGGGTTTTCACTAAACATTTCTTGTCTCTCCACACAGCTCCAAGAGAAAGGTGTCTACAAAGCCATGAGTGAGTTTGACATCTTCATCAACTACATAGAAGCCTATATGACAACGAAGATGAAAAACTGAAGCATCCTAGGGAACGAAGCATCCAGGACGGTGACTCTACTAGACTCTAGGACATAAATTGGAGATCTCCCAAATCCCATCCAGGGTTCTGGGAGAGCTGAATCAGCTCCTTGGAAAACCCTGTGGTACCTCTCTCCTGAATATTTATTAACTCTGATACCTCAACTCCTATTTCTATTTATTTACTGAGCTTCTCTGTGAACTATTTAGAAAGAAGCCCAATATTATAATTTTTTTCAATATTTATTATTTTCACCTATGTTTAAGCTGTTTCCATAGGATGACACCCTATGGTATTTGAGTGTTTTAAGAGAAATTGTAAGTTATAAAGGAAAAAAATGTTTCTTGGGGGAAGCCAACTGGAGCTTCCATTCCAAGCCTGACCACACGTTATGGCTGTTGAGCTGTTCTTCCTGACCCCTCTCTAACCTTTCCTGTCCCAGGGCCTCGGGCACCCAGAGTGTTACACAGACTCTCACCCTCTTAGGAAGAGAAACTAGGGAGCTCCTCTGAGGATTAATGGCTCAGAGGGGTTCCCCAGACCTCACTCCCCAATCACTTCATTCTTGAAAGCTGTGGCCAGCTTGTTATTTATAACAACCTAAAGTTGGTTCTAATAGAACTTAGTTTTAACTAGAAACAATTCAATTCCTCTGGGAATGTTACATTGTTTGTCTGTCTTCATAGCAGATTTTAATTTTGAATAAATAACTGTTATTAAAATTATGTTATGGTGTCGGTTGACTTCTGACTAAAATTATTCCTTTAAAGTTTCCAAGCTAGAAGAGAGTAAATGAATGGATTCTGCATTCCAGGGAAAGAAAGCCAGCTACACTCTCCCAGAGAGAGGGAAGCGTCCAAATCTGCTGGGGGAAAAAGGTATCCCCACTTCAAAAGCCAACAGCAAAAACCACCTTTGTCTTCCCATAAACTCAATCCTTTAAGGAATTCTCCTCAAACCCTTAAAGATCATGCTGATTTTCAAGGCTGAGGATGAGATTCTGTACATAATCAAAATTAGAAAAATAGGCAAAGGAGGTTTTTAGTGTTTTTTTGCTTCTTCAAGCTCCAAAGGTCCAGGGGTGAATACTAATTTGCCTGAGTTATCATGAGGCTTCAGATAAAGTGCTAACACTGTTCCCTGCACTAGGAGATGGTCCCAGTGCACACAGTTGGCTGTGATCGGTATTCACCACTAAAAACTCCTACCAAATCCTCCTCGAGCTGAGACCAGAGGCAACAGGCTGGAGCCAACAAAGTAGAGTATAAGCGGTTAGCCCACTTGGTAGGATGCCCAGGGATTCAAGGGCTGTTGCTCCTTCTGTTTCCTCCTTGAGCCACCAGACAAGTGTGAGATTGGCTTCTGACTGCGGTCTGCTGGGAGGGGTGTGGCAGCTGGGGAAGCCCTGCTCAAAGCCCCGTGACTGGGGGAGAGAAGAGGAAAGAAGGGCTGAGTAAACACTGATCCCCTCACGCTCTGCCCAGGCGGCCCCGGGCGGGGAGGGTGGGAGCCGCCGGGCTGTGGCCAGTTTTTCAGTAAGACCTGACTCACTTCGGTTCAAGTAACCATAGGAAGGAAGTGGGCAGCATCAAAGCTGAAATTCTGAGATGAAAGGTTAGGGTTAAGAACGGAGGCAGCAGAAGGCGTGGAGACAAGAGTGAGGCTCTCCAGTCCTCGGCCTGGAAGGCTAGGCAGTCAAGGCTCTCTGCCAGGCCGTGCGCACTAGCTGGAGTGTGAGGTTGGCACCACAGCGAGGGAAGTGGGCATCTGAAACCAACAGAGACGGAAACTCACCTGGGGAAGCCACATAGCGGACAAGATGTTGACAGCACCACAATTTACTGAGCACTTATTTGAGCTAGTCAGTACTAGTATATGTGTATCAGGCATGCTGTATGCTATTGTTATTGCTAAGTTCTATAAGAGGAAACCGACGCTCAGAAATGTTGGTATGGCTTGGCCTCATGGGTAATGTGGAAAATGGAGAACTGAGAATAGCATAAAAGCCTTTCCCTTTGTACTGATTATCTGTTGCTGCCCCCAAAATTTAGCAGCTTAAAACAACAAACATTTATTATCTCACAGTTTCTATACGTCAAGAGTCTGGGAGAGACAACTAGGGGTTCTGACTCAGAGTCTCTAAGGTGGTTGCAGTCAAAATGACAGCCAGGACTGCCATCGCTTGAAGGCTTGACTGGGATTGGACAATTCCCGTCCAAGATGGCGCACTGACATGGCTGTTGGCAGGAGACCTCAGTTCCTCACTGGCTATTGGCCGGTGGCCTTAGTTCCTTGCTACACAGGCCCTTCCACAGGGCTTCTTGAATGTCTTCTCAACACAGCAGCTGTCTTCCCCAGAGCCAGTGATGTGAGAGACAGCAAGGAGGGGATCATGGTGTCTTTCAGACCTAACCTCAGAAACCTCACACCGTTGCTTCTGCCACATTCTATTTGTTAGAAATGAGTTGGGGGCCCGACCCCATGGCCGAGTGGTTGAAGTGCCACGTGCTCTACTTTGGTGGCCCAGATTTGTAGGTTCAGTGTCTGGGCACAGACCTACTCCACTTGCCAGCCATGCTGTGGCAGTGTTCCACATACAAAAAAATAGAGGATTGTCACAGATGTTAGCTCAGGACAAATCTTCCTCATAAAAAAAAAAAAAGAGAAGAAGAAGTGAGTTGCTAAGTATAGCCCATATTCATGGGGAGCAGAATTAGATTCTGCCTTTTGAAGGGAGAAGTATCAAAGAATTTGTGGACATTTTTTTAATGCTTTGGTGGGGGGGGGGGGCTGCAGAGAGGAAGACCAGCCCTAAGCTAACTTCTGTTGCCAATCTTCCTCTTTTTTTTTCTCCTCAAAGCCCCAGTACATAGTTGTATATCGTAGTTGTATGTGTGAACATATTTGTAAACTACTACACCCTTCTGAGAATTTAGAAGTAGCTCTGTGCTGGAATGGCACACAGGCTCCCAGGCTGGGTCGGGGGGCAGGACACGGAAGAATCAGGTAAGCATCGGCGTGTATGGAAGGGCCATCATCACAGACACCACCCTCTTTCAGTCCTCTCTCTTGTTGGCTCACTCTAACATATTTACTTCTCTGAGCCTCAGTTTCTTATCTGGAAAACTAGCAAAACTTCTTTCCCAGGTGTACTGGACCGAACGTTTGTGTCTTCTCAAAATTCCTGTGATAGTATTTGGAGATGGGGCCTTTGGGAGGTAATCAGGGTTAGAGGAGGTCATGAGGGCGGGGCCCTCAGGATGGGATTAGTGCCCTTATGAGAAGAAACACCAGAGAGCCCGATCTCTCTCTTTCTCTCTCTCCACACGGACACAATAAAGAGATCTTATGAGCACACGGCAAGACGGTGGCACCTACAAGCCAAGAGAAGAGGCCTCAGAATGAAACCTACCCTGCCAGCACCTTGATCTGGGACCTCCAGCCTCCAGAACTGTGAGAAAGAAATTTCTCTTGTTTAAGTCACCCAATCTAAGGTATTTTGTCACCGCGCCTGAGCTGCTTAGTACACCAGGTTTGATATAACAGTCAAAGAAACGTCAGATATGAAGGTATACACGTGTTCCGGATAGGAAGTATAGAGATGAGATTCAGATGGGGATTTTTTTTTTGTTTTTTCACAGAAATCCTTTATTGTCTAAGAAAAGCAATCACCTCCTCTCTGCCCATGTCCATCTGTCCCCTCACACCAGAGTTTGGATAACAGCAGAGAATGAGAATCTCTATTTGTCTGTGGTCCCAGCTGCCAAGGTGAGGAGGGTGGGACCAATGAGAGAAGCTCCCAAAATCTGTGATGATAATGTGGTCACCCTGTCTCGCCACTGACAGAAATCAGAGAGACGAAAAGCAGATGGGCCCTTCACCCTGGGAGAGAGGCACCGCTGGGAGGAGGGGTAAGGTCAGCAAGGGGAAGAAAGAGGGGAGAGGAGCGCCAGCTCCAGGGGAGAAGCTGCCCATTCTGTGCAGGCTTCCCCCTCAAGACGCTTGTGTGAGTGGATCTAATTGTGGAACGTGGGCACCAGCCTTCAGCCTGGGGTGATTTCAGGAAAAGCAGACCAACTCCAACGCACTCCAACGCAACAGGAGCTGGATCATAAGAATATATACTCAGAATGAAAAGTGGCGGGAAGACCTTTGAATTTTCACGAGCTGCAGAACTGCCTGCAGAATGAACCAGACAACTCTCTCTCTATCTCCCAGGCGACATATGTGTTCCGTCATTCAAGGTTCCTTTACGCACTGACTCATTTGGTGACTTGGGAAATTTTACTTACCTGTCTGGGCCTCCGTTTCCTCAACAATAAAATAAGGAAGTAGGTCTGGATCAATGGTCTCCAACTGGGGCCACCAGACTCTTGAAGGCGCTCATGGCAGGGAGAGGATTGGCTGAACAGTTTCCAAGCTTTGAAAACGCCTAATGAAACTGTACATTTTCCACCCCACCCCCACCTCCCAAAAGTCTGCACAGGCTCGTTAAAAGCACTTCCAAGTGCTTCGCTGGAGGAGTAGCCACAGCGTATGGAAAGGCAGCTCGCCTCATGCTGGTCAGAAGCTCCGTTTAGCAGACATCTATTATATTTTGATTAATAAAATCAGAAAATGAAATTATTTCCTTAAAAATTTTCCAACCAGTCAAAATATTTTAAAATAGAGTCTCTGGGGGAAATTAATAGCAACAGTCCATTGTGGTCAAAAGCTTCAAAACCACTAAATTAGATGACCTCTAAGTTCCCTCCAAGCCCATAGCTCCTAAGTGCAGCATCTGACTCCTCAGTCAGCCAGGCCCATCCCACGCGAACCCCACTCCGGGACACACTCCTGTGTCCACAGAGTCTGCACTGGTAACTTTCCAGACAGCTTCTCAGTCATCTGTGTATCAT